AAATTTTGTCTAATATAACCGACCTTGTAGTGTACATAAAAATATACCCATACATAGTAGCACCCTGTATACTGGACAGAAAATATTGCATGTTTTAGCTCTATATAAACCAAACCCTTTTTTGTTATAGATATACTCGTAGATAGGTGAATTAAATAAGAAGTGAACATAAGTAAGTAAAATCGATATATCACCCTTAATCCTGTACTCTACTAAATATATATTTGGGTACCTCGTCCTTAAACTTTCTTTTATGGCCAAAAACAGCTTGCTGAAGCTCTTGAAAGCTGTCTCCTATCACGTGAGAGTAATATCGTATATCCCTTTTGGTTAGCGTCATGGTCACATGAAAGTGGTAACCACATCCTTTTCGTAAAATAAAACAACAATTTTATCCAATTACATCCAGAAGGCGGCTAGGAGCGGGACACTTGACGCGTTTATGGGTATTTTCGCCCCGGCGCGACGTTGGCTTCGATAACTCGGCGATAGCATTTCTCGTCTAAACGAATCGGTCAGACTGTCGGAGCAAAGTCGCAGTAAATGGAAAACAATAAAAATTAAATTGATATCGTTAACTACTTGACGGCAATTAGAAAATCAGCGTGAATGACACGAGAGGATACATTTATCCAATGTTACAACACTTAACGAAACGTCGCTAAAACGTTTTAGCGATAAACAAGAGTTTTAGAGTTTTTAAATAATTTGTTTAATTTAAATCGTTCTCTCTTAAAATGAAATAGTCAAAATTCTACTATTTGAATTAGTACCAGCATTTTTTACTAATAAAATAGTAGTTTTCACTTTTAAATAGTTATTTTTACTACGTAAATAGTTAAAGTTTGACTAATTGCGGCCAACAACAAAGTATTATTTGAATTAAATGCATATAGGCTCCATGGTTAGACAGCAACACAAATAATACGAGGTCTGTTTAGAAAATATCTGTAATTTTCGTTTTTTGAAACAAATATTTATTTATTCGTCTACATTAATTTTGTCGCCTTCAAAATAGTCCCAATTGGATATTATCCACATGTGCCAGCTCTTCTTCCAATACTCGAAACACTTTCATCTTTGGGATAGCCTTTAGTTCTTTCAGCAATGCGCTTTTAATGTCATCTATGCTTGCAAAACGACGGCTCTTTATTTTTGGGAATAGGAAAAAGTCAGACAAAGGCATGAATATGGAGGCTCAAAATTTAACTATTTTAGAACAAATTTTGCTGCCACGCGTTTCATACCCAAAACATTCGAAAAAATTTCATGGGATAAGCCAATCGATATACCAACATCATCAGCGACTTCTCTGATGATGTTTATAACCATTCCTTCCACGTTTTCCATGTTTTTATCGGTTGTTAATGTGCTTGTGCGTCGGGGCGTTCGTCATCTTCAACGTCTTTACGGCCATCTTGGAAACTCTTATACCACTTGTAAACTCTTGTTTTACTTATAGCAGACTCACTATAGGCCTTTGTTAACATTTCACAGAATTTATTTCATGTTTTAAGCGAAATTGGATACAAATTCTTTGATCCATTTCTTTTAACGAACGAAAAATCGCCGAGCTCATAAAACACGTCTAACCTTAGCGGCTGCCACAAACAAAGTAAACAATGAAAACAGCTAAGGTTTTTATCATACTTCGGGGGCATGTATACCAACATAATAAAGAAAATTTTATGACAACCGGACCCTTGAACCCGCGAAATTTAACAATTCCCGTTATTTTATGAACACACCTCGTATATTCAACTTTAAAATATTAGGAACAATATTTATTGACAAGTAAAATTGATTTTTATATAATTTGATTAATTTTTATACGAGAGGTTAATAGCCACATTGGTAATGACAACAGCTTGACAAGTGACAGGCCTGAGTTCAATCCCCGGCTGCATTTTTTAAATTTAAATCTACTAATTTGACTATTTTATTCAGTACAATTTGACTAATTATTAGTGACTGCTTTTTTGCTATGACAATTACTTAAATATGATTTATAATTAGTTCTTTTTGACTTATTAATTTCAAGAGAGTTGTTATAGATATACTTTAATAGTATATTATGTATCAAATTTTATAAACGCTATTTTAATAAAAACGAGTGTTTACAGAATTTTCCAAAACGAGTTGCATACTATACTTTATACAGTTAACGGCAAAAGTATGGAACAAATTCATTGAACAACAGATTTTTTTTCTAAAACAACAAATATAAACAAATTATCAATTTCGCACATTTTGATGTACAATTTTCATATTTCCGCCATTTTTGTGGAATCACTGACGTAATCGGACATTTTTTTAGGGATTCGAATAGATTATGAAATTGTAATTTCAACAATATGCACATTTATACCTTTTATGCTGATAGTTTCGGAGATATTAATGATTAAATAGCTTTTAATAATGTTTTCATGTTTAATAGTTTTTATTAAAACACTTTTTAATGGGTTTTAATAAAATTAAAAAGTGTTTATAGAAGAAATGTTTACAAACTTTCTCATTTTAAAGTCAAACTTTTTTGGTTCATTATTTTTTTTTTGTTATTCTACAAATTCTTGTTTCTTTGTCAGACGTGAGACTCAAATCATTTGAGTAAATAATACTAAACTTTATCTACTTTAATAAGTAATTTAATGATTTTCAAAAATAATTGAATAAAATCTGCCATTTTTCAAATGGTTAATCTCCCAATTGGTTTAAATCGCAGTAAAATATTGAAATAGGCCAATCACTGATGCCTAACAACGTAATTACGTTTTAAATGAGTTTATCTCCACGCGGTCTATAATTTAAACTTTATTGTTGTCAACATTCGATAAAGAAATACCTTGTTATGGCCTAGGCCGATAAAAATTTTTATGAGGCAAGTAATTAGTTCGATTTTTTCTCGCTAGGGGTATTGTTTTGACAAATTAATCCTTTTCTAAGAAATTAACTTACTAAACTGGTTTAATTTATTTATAATAAGCACTAATTTGTTTGTTTTACTGTTATAACATTATAATGTTTAATATTTTTCATTAAATTATTGTAAAATTAAATATGAATAATAAAACAAAAAGTGAGGTTAGGACATTGCAATTTGACGTTTCACAGTTGTGTTTTCTTTTTCTACGATTTAAATTATCTTTAAATTTTAATTTGCTTTAAGTTTTCAGTAAAATTAAATGTTAAACACAGCGTAAACATTCCAAACTACCTATTTTTTTAATAAAAATGCAAACAAATTGAAATTAGATACCTATTTATTAAACAATTAATTGAATTCAATGTAATAGCAAGAGGGTAAGTAAACCATGTTCTTACAAAAATCCATTTCTACTTAAATCATGTAGTTAGGTATTGTCAAACTATTACTGCTTCTATAAGGAATAATAATTATTGTACATTTAAAGTAATCTTTAGCTAATAAATAAATGAGATTAAAAAAAGTGAGGTTAGGGCGCTTTCATGTTGAATTAAATTGACCTATATAAAGTGCTTTGAAGATAAAATGTTGTATGCCATTCGGCCAAGAAGTGTCTTTTTGTGCTTCGCTCAATTGTAGGCCTCCGCTACGCGTCGGCCTTCAAACTTTGAGCTTAGCACAAAAAGCCTTACTTCTTAACCTAATGACATAAATAACTATTATTATGCCCGTTGTTTTCATTATATACGCAAAAAAAACAATATTATGCAATAGGAGTAGATAAAATACCTTTTATCTCGGATTTGAATAATTTTTTTAAACTTGTTTTTGCTGATATTTTTATTTGATTTAATTTTCTTAAATAAATATTTTTATCATTGTAGTAGTAAAGTAAACATACCATACTGTGTGTTTTATTCAAAATGGTACGTAGGTTATAAATTTAATCGAAACCAACACTTTGTTCAAAAAATATTTTTAATTTGAGGTTTTTTTTTAATTATTGACCTTTTTTTGTTTCCGTATAAGTTTATATAAATAGTCAATTTAATATCTACAATGTATAACAAAACAAAACAAATGAAGGTCGTTAATGAAAAATAATTATTTGAAAAAGGTGTTATTCATGATGAGATTTACAACCTCTATTGGGTTGTCAATTTTTATTTTGTTTCATAAATATGTTTGGCATTTGAAGAGTGAAAGCACCAAATAATGTATGTTGATTTTGCAACATTTATTAAAATATGCTTACATATTATTTTAACGTTGGTTGTTGTTAAAATAGGTTTTATTTTAAAATTATTATTTTATTATATTTTTTACATTCTTAAGTCATTATTATAAAACAATTTACACTTTAACAATTTTTTTTATTTTATTTTATAAACAGGTTTTATATTACTTTAGAAATACAAAATTCAGTGTTTTAGTTTTAAATCATTACCTATAATAAAACAATTCACACTTTTTTACAAAATTATTTTCTAAAAAGGTTTTAGAATACTTTATATAGCATAGATTTAAAAAACTATTTTGTTTAAATATATTTTTTGACCCCCCAAAAATAATAAAAATTTAGTCTATATTCAAAGGGAGCATCCAGTAATTACGTAAGTTTTCTTAAAATTGGAAACGCCCCCTCCTTGGTAAGATGTGATAGGACCCCCTCCCCCTCACGTGAGATTTACACTATAATTTTTAAATAAATAAATTGATTTGATATGGTCATAGTAATATATTACTATCACTATTATAGGTTATAACCTTAAAGTATATTCTCTGGATTAAAAGTTGACGTAAGATTTTTATTGAAAATTTATTCCCGCCAGAAATTGTAACAGGCCTAAAAAAAAAAAACATTTTAGAATTAAAATGTTAACTTTCGACTTTCTTATGATAGTCATAAAAAAATTCATATTGACTAAATATATTTCAAATTCTAAAATATTGTAGTTAAACTAGTTTTTTAGTAACAACGCCAAATGCTGTTTTTAAAAATTATTATTATTTATTAGTTGTTTAAGCTTTTTAAAGCTTAAAAGCAAAACTCAAAAAGCATCACTCAACTATTTACCAGTTCCTCCGCTGATCTAGTCTGTAAACTCTGAAACATTAATAGGTGTTTAGTCAGAAAACTTAAATTAAATTATAATCACAATCTTATATATAGAAGTTAATAATCTAACGCAGTACAAATCTGGGTAGTTTTAAAAGTTTGCTTTAAACTTTAGTTTGTTTGAGTCAAAGTTAAACTATTAATTAATAATTATAAATGTTATATAATTTTATTCAAAATTGTTACAAGTTTACCAATTTTACTTGGTAAAAAAGTTTTACGTGCATATTTTATTGCTACTACTTATGTTCCTTTGTGTTTTTACTGCGTAGTTAAGTTTTATGAACTGCTAAAATATTTGATATTACCCACAATACAAAGATTTATGGTTGCCTTAAATTTTAGTAGAGCGGAGTGTTGGCACATTTAAAATTCAAGACAAATTCTGATGAATGTTTTAGAAACTTGTGTGCGTATTTATATTTTAAGGTTTATATTTTCTGAACTAAAGCACAAAATATATTAAAACATATAAAATTAGTTGAAAAAATCTAAACTTATTATTATTTAAAAAGTATACTTAGGCAGAATTGTTAACAGGAACCAACCCTAAACGTATCTCGAAAATACTTTAAAATTTTTTTTTATTTATAAATGTATACTCATATTTCAACTTTTATAAGTATTTTTTTAGCTAACTAGCAAAAGTTAAAATAATGGTATTTGGCATACAACACTTGTTTTTGAAAGTATTGGCTTCCTATGATTTTAAAAGAATTGTAAAGTAAATATTACTTTTTTCTGAAATATGTTTTTTTACTGTTGTTAGACAAACTTTAAAAGCTCGAATAATATATTAAATGTACGCTCAAGATGGGACACGAACTGCGCATCATTTTTAAATTAATATTTATATTTTTTTAATTGCACAGCTAAATCGCGCACGTTATTTGTATTTCGCGTTGCAAGTAAAAACTGCGAAACTTTGGTTTAGTACTCGATTTCAATCTATTATTCCTTACTCTCTAAAAATAAATTAGTCAAAAATTTCTAATTTAATAGTTATTAGTGCCTGCTTTTTCACTTGTACCATGGCTAACCATGGAATACCATGGTACCATGGTACCCCCCTGAATCCGAAAATTATAAAATTTATTAAATGGAAAATTGACTATATCTCAAAAACTGTTCAATAGGGTGATTCATTTCCGCAAAGTTTTTGTTTTTTTTCGGTGCTCAGGCAAAATATTAATCTACCTATAGAAAAAAAAATTTTCACCAAGGTAGAGCTTTTAATATCAATTTTAAGTACTTGCAGTTTAAATTTAAAGTTTTCCCATTTAAAATGCATGTAAAAAAAATGGTTTTTTTTTCAAATTTCTAATGCTTACCCACCTTTGACAATATTGCAAATCGGTTTAATACACCTTATGGGGAATTTCACGCTCTTTAAAATTGCTTTTGAGTTTTTTTTTGTAACTCGCATTGGTTCACCAGTAGGAGTCGTCAAAGGACAGTTTTTGAAAAAAATCGTTTTTTTTTTATTTTTTCGAGCAAATTGACAAAAGTAGTGAGAAAAAAGGGCTGATTCATAAAAAAAAAGTTACCCAACCAATATTTAATGAATTTACTGCCATTTTTATAACTGAAAACGTAAGAAATTGATAAATACCAACCCATAATGTTATTTAGATTGATTTTTTCTATTTATTATCATTATATTTCCCTACACTAAGAACTTTTTTAAAATTATTATGATTTCTCACTCATAATAAATATGAAAACAACACATAAAATCATAAAAAAAAACAACAAAACTTTAATCGGAATATAAAGAAGGTTATGTAACATATTTCAAATTTCGCTTCAAAAAATTAAATAATCTTCATTTATACTTTTTTGCTATTTTTTTATGAATTTATCTGTTGTTTTCATATTCATTATAAGTGAGAAATTAATAATTTTAAAAAACTTTTTAGTGTAGGGAAATATAATGATCATAAATAGAAAAAATCAATCTAAATAACATTATGAGTTGGCAATTATCAATTTCTTACGTTTTCAGTTATAAAAATGGCTGTAAATTCATTAAATATTGGTTGGATAACTTATTTTTATGATTCAGCCCTTTTTTCTCCCTACTTTTTGCGGTTTGTTAGAAAAAATTAAAAAAAAACGATTTTTTTCAAAAACTGTCCTTTGACGACTCCTACTGGTGGACCAATGCGAGTTACAAAAAAAAACTCAAAAGCAATTTTAAAGAGCGTGAAATTCCCCATAAGGTGTATTAAACCGATTTGCAATATTGTCAAAGGTGGGTAAGCATTAGAAATTTGAAAAAAAAACATTTTTATTACATGCATTTTAAATGGGAAAACTTTAAATTTAAACTGCAAGTACTTAAAATTGATATTAAGAGCTCAAACTTGTTGAGAATTTTTTTTTCTATATGCAGATTAATATTTTGCTTGAGCACCGAAGAAAACAAAAACTTTTCTCCCTACTTTTTGCGGTTTGTTAGAAAAAATTTAAAAAAAAAACGATTTTTTTCAAAAACTGTCCTTTGACGACTCCTACTGGTGAACCAATGCGAGTTACAAAAAAAAACTCAAAAGCAATTTTAAAGAGCGTGAAATTCCCCATAAGGTGTATTAAACCGATTTGCAATATTGTCAAAGGTGGGTAAGCATTAGAAATTTGAAAAAAAAACATTTTTTTTACATGCTTTTTAAATGGGAAAACTTTAAATTTAAACTGCAAGTACTTAAAATTGATATTAAGAGCTCAAACTTGTTGAGAATTTTTTTTTCTATATGCAGATTAATATTTTGCTTGAGCACCGAAGAAAACAAAAACTTTGCGGAAATGAATCACCCTACTGTTCAACTTTTTTAACTTTTCACGACTTTTTCGGATTCAGGGGATAATTTTACATAAGAATTGGCTGTTAAATTTTGGGATTCCATGGTATTTCATGGTTAACCATGGTACAAGTGAAAAACCAGCCACTAATAACTATTAAATTAGTCATATTTGACTAATTATATTTTTAACGAGTACTGCAGTACTCGTAAAAAATATAATTAGTCAAATATGACTAATTTAATTTTTATTAAACTCATGAGTTTAATAAAAAATTGACTTTTGAACTAGTACTAAATTGAAAATTTTTATACACTTGATAAAAAATACCATCATGTCAGTTGAACCTAACCTAAAAATGATGTTTTAAAACTCGAAGCAATATTCTACTTAAATGCTTGAAAAAATAGTACATTAAACATTTGCTATAATATGTGCTTTCTTCGCCTGGTCTATAATGAACTATTGTGTAACAAGTATTATTAACGTCATTTAAGTCACTAATTTTAATAATTGCAAAATTTTAAACGGATTAAACTAATGTTGACAATTTTTATATATTTTTTAAAATTATTTAAAATATTGAAAAATTATTTTTAATATTAGTAGCTATTAACATTGTGTTTTGAAACTCCAATAAAGGGTGTCCGTTTTTGAGGCTAAGCCTCGATTATCTCCAGAGATCTAAGCCAGAGATACAGTCTATTTTTTAATGTTTTGCATTGTGTCATCAATTTGTGAACCAACCAAGCACATACATTACAATTTGCTGTTTTCTTTGTGTACATAGTTTTTGAGATATAGTAAGAAACAAAAATTGGTAATTTTTATTTCAAAAATTGTTGAAGAATTCAAATTTGCAAAAATCTTTGCTTAGCCTTGAAAAAATGACACCCTGTATATCTAACCATAAAAATATCTGAAAAACCCAACAAAATATGATTCACAAAAGTAACTTAAACAATCCTAAAACTTTGTAAACCTATTTATTCCGTAAATAAGACAAAATGTAAACAAGGAAGAAAAAGCAAAAAAATAAGATTGCCAAAGTACGTTTTATTTATTTACTGCCAAATTTGCATGATTACGTCAAAGCCACCCTGATCAATTGGCGAATTTTATGACGCATACGTCGACTTTATATTATTAAACGACGAAAAGAGAAAAAAAACGTGGAAAGTGCTGGAAATAATGAAGGCGGCATCGACGAAGCCCGCGCGCTATCGAATTGAATTACTCCCAGCACGTGTCTAATAACACCAATTCTGCAGTTCTATAATAAGTATACAGTGTGAATCAGCCAAATGGAATAAATTCGATAAGACATAAATGGGGCGTACTCCAAAAAACCAATACAAATTTTCTTTTTTCAAATGCAACAGGGAGTTTATTATTCAATTTTTGGATTCTTCTAAAAATTGTAGAAATATTTTATGTACAATGTCCTATACCTATCTTCAACTGTTTCGGAAATATTAAAAAAATAACATAACATATCGATAATTATTTGATTAGAAAAATTCGTTAGAGGAAAGTCGCCTATTATGGGGCACCATTTTAATTATAATATAAATCGAAATGTATTTCTTGAAAATTGACAGTTTTTCACAGTTTACAGTTGTGTCCGTGTCCGAATTTAAGTTATAGTTTACTGCCGGCAAAATTAAAAGGTCAGTACAATGGTCATATAAACTTTTCAAATATTGGCGTTGAGAAACTATTTAAGTAATACTTTTGTATTTTTGTATTGAGATAATAAAAAAAAATTCACATTTAGTATAATTTTACAAGAAAAGCACTTTATTTTAACGATTGTATGACATTTGACAACTGTCAGCTAACTTAAAACTAACTTCAGCCCGTGACTAAAAACCTGTTGCTAACTTCAGCCCGTGACTAAAGCGCCATAAAGCCACAACTTGTCAATGTGTATTTAAAAGGTCACTTAGTGTCATGGATAAAGGGCGTTTTAAAGGTGGGAGTAGAAAAAATATATTATAACCTAAAAACCCAAGTAGTATCGCACGTCATATGTAGGTAGGAATATTTTGGTAACCCATATTATGACGCGTTCGAAAAATAGTAAACAATGAAATATTTTTGTTTAAATAAAAACAGTAACAGAAACAAATAGCCAGAACTTACCTTGTATTTGAAAAAATTGTTTTAAAAAGCAAGTAACGTTA